CATAGGGTACAATGTCAGAACCAGCGATGATAATTTCATGCTTTGCGGGTCGGACAGCAATGTCGTTGCAGGTCATGAAAGGTGTTCCGGCGAGGATATCAACATCAAGGTCTTCTACAACAAGAGCCTCGAGGGTAAGGGTCTTGCCATTACGGGACAATGACAGGCGGGTTTCGCCGACAATAGAGAGCGGAGTACGACCATCAGCTTGTAACGCAAGTTGTGAACTCTTGGATATTGGGCAACCGATGTAATGGGCAAGGGAGGCCTTTATCATGTTGGTCTCTGCACCAGTATCAATAGTAAGGCGAAGCGGGTGTTGATTGTAGAAGACGTGGAGATACGGAGATTGTGTAATATTTACACGGCAGGTAGCTGAGCGATGGTTGATGGGATGATCGCAGTCACAATTACTCTGAGGAGGTGGATAATTGTCATCGGGATGATTATCTTCATACTCTTGGGTATCTTCGATATCTGTAACATGGCGTGCTCGGGCCATAAACTGACGATCTGAGTCAGGCAGGTATTCGCAGGTACTTAAAAAGTGGGAGCGATAGTCGGGGCGGCCAGCTTGGAGGCATAGTGCACAGGATTTATTTGAACGAGGCTTGTATGTCGTTTTGCTCTTTGGGGGGTATGGGCGGTTGGGGCCAGGTGGGCGGTTGTCGATGCGGGGTGGTCTTCCAAAGCTTGGGTGGATTGTGCGCAGAACTTTGGCTTCTTCGCTGGTGCGTAGTTCCTCTAACAAAGAGTCGAGGGCTTGAGATATCTCAGGCTTTATAGAGGCCAGTGTTCGGCAACGGAGCTCTGTACCGTACCTTTGCTTAACTAAACGTGGAAGGTCTGGGTGGAGGAGTTGGAGCCAGGTAACTACAATAAAGTTTTCGAGGGAGGGGGATAGCTCTTCATCAGCTTCTGGGGTTATTCCGTGATGAGTTATTCCGCCTGCTGCTGTTAATAAATTATCTTCAACAAAGGACATCAAGCATTGGTAAAGGTCTTCAGGCCTCTGGTCTAATTTGGCCTTGATATTAGCTAGATCTAAGAAGCGGGAACCAGTAGATTGCAGGCCGTAATGTTGTCGAATGGCTTGCCATACACCGCTGATGGAGGTCGAATTTCGTACAATCGTATTACGAGAAATAACAGGAGCATAGTTAGCTATTTGGCCAAGCATCATTTCGAGATGAGTCACCTTTTGCGCAGCGGTACGGCGTTGAATCTGGGGAATGTCCTCATCATCGTCGGTAAAACCACGGAGAGGAGAGGCATTGGTTTTCTTTAGCCAAGTAGCACCAGCGGTGAGAAACGATGCAAAATTATGGTCTAGGGATAGGATGTATTTTAAATTGTTCTCCCAAGCCTCTATGGAAGTTATTGTTTCAGTCGTTGTGAGAGACCATTGTTTTGGTGCTCGAACGGCCGCCATTTTGTTTGTCGAAAGCTTGACTGGTAAATCTATACGATGAGTTTTTCCTCTTATTTATGCTTTGATGTACACTTTTTCGTACGTTACGGGTTCTTTATAATCCGTGAAGCTGCCACCACGCCAATGTTTAGGAGGGCACTCGACAGCGAAGCTAAAACGACGACTTTAAATGGTAGTCTTTAATACTATGTTATGAATAAAACAACAACGAGGCCAAGACAAGCCACAAGAGTATACTAACATGAAGTAAAGGTCGCCTAGGCGCGAACAACATCGCAGGCGCATGTGATCTTTACTAACAACAATAACAACTAAAAGCCACACTATGGCGTTGAGCCTTTGCCAGTCACAGCAGAACAGGTCAAACGAGAAACACAGAGAGATCCTCTATTGGTGAAGGTCCATGAGTTGGTTATGAAAGGATGGTCCACTCCACAAGATGAAGCGATTAAACCGTTTTACCAGCGGAAAAACGAACTAACAGTTCACTGTGGTGTCCTAATGCTTGGACACAGAGCAGTCATTCCTGCAAAGTTGCGTAATCAAGTGTTAACCGAGCTTCACGAAGGTCACCTCGGTATTGTTAAAATGAAGTCTCTGGCACGAAGTTTCATCTGGTGGCCCAAAATTGGTAAGGACATTGAGCACCTAGCCAAGAGCTGCCCTGGTTGTCAACTTCAACAAAATGAAGCCGGCAAAGTACCACTACACCCTTGGGAATGGCCAACCACATCTTGGCAGAGAATCCATTTAGATTTTGCTGGGCCGTTCCTAGGACGAATGTTCCTTATCATTGTAGATGCACACTCGAAGTGGCCTGAAGTGGAAATAATGCCATCCACCACATCGACGCAGACCATTGACCGACTCCGAACTATTTTTGCCCGATATGGAGTGCCAGCACAGGTGGTGACCGACAATGGGCCACAATTTACATCCTCAGAGTTCCAACTATTTTTGAAGACTAATGGTATCAAGCATATTACCACGGCCCCATTCCACCCTGCAACCAACGGTCAAGCGGAACGTTTTGTTCAGAGTTTCAAACATGCTATGAAATGCGAGAAACAAAGTGCATCCCAGCTGAAAACCAATATGGCAAAGTTCCTTTTGGCTTACCGGAATACCCCGCATTCGACGACTGGAGAATCACCGTCCGTGTTGTTTTTGGGCAGACCGCTACGGACTCGCCTCGATTTGGTGAAACCTGATTTACAAAGGAAAGTGATGAGCAGGCAAATCGATCAAGCGGGGAGGAAAGGACATTCCCCCACACGTCAGATATCCATTGGTCAGACTGTCATGGCACGTAACTACAGTGGGAAAGACAAGTGGCTACCAGGTATAGTTCTAGCTCAAACGGGACCGCTTTCGTACGAGATAAAAGTTGGTCCAAATCGAATTTGGCGACGGCACATCGACCAGCTTCGAGCCTCTAGTGTGAAAGTAATGACCATAGTGATGATACGGCTGAACCTCATCCAGAGCTCGGAGAGACTGGCCAGAATATTGCACCAGCAGAAGAAATTGTCGCAGAGCCGGATATCGAACTAGCCACGAATCCACCAGTAGTGCAACAACAAGAAGCCGGTAGGGCTACAACAGGATCTGAACAACGCTATCCAACTAGATCACACCAACCACCCGAGAGGTGGGGTCTTAACTGTTTGATCCGAAAACTGTTTAAGAAAACTACATAGAGAACTGCTTTATTACTTACTGTTATGGTTAGCATAATTGTTCGAACACGATAGTGAACTTATGAACAATATTTTATGATACATTCCTTAAGAGGAGAGATGGTGTTAGATATATAGATATAGACGGACAGCGGTCATACGCACGGACATGCGCATTAGATATGTAGATCGGCCATGCTTATGTATTATTCATATTTTGTTAAAAGTATAATCTAAATACACGACAGTTAGGATCAGTGAACTCTACTTAATACTGGAACGATAACTGAAAGTAAACATGCCATATTTGCCTGGAGCCAACATGAAGCAAACCGCGCGATGAAATTGCACTTTTAAAAGGACTAAGGAGAGTTTCGAGGAGTGGGAAATTCAGTCAAAGCTTATTTTCGACGAAAATGAGCAAGAAAAGTCGTTTTACATCAAAATACTTCAATTTTAAAAACCCAAAGACGATTTATTAGATAGTTAGAACTGTTTTCCATTTAGCAACAGCGAATGTTTAATTAAAGGGTATCATTTTTTGTTTTCATAAAAACGAAACTATTAAACGTGCCGAACCGAACTTTGCTCTTTAAATTAACTAAAAAACCAACTTTAAAACATATATCCACCGACCAATACCTGTTTTGTATTAAAGCCTAGGTATAGTTGTTTATTTGAGTACTTTTTTTACATCTCTAAGATGTGTAGAAACCCCTCATGATTTGCAATTTGTGATTTGGCGCCCGGGAGATGTATCGCGCGCTCTGCCCAGACTAGTCCCTAGTCCTCTGTTGCAGGAACGCGTAGTAGGAGTACTAAGAGGCCTAGGGACTAGGCTGCGCTCTGCCTTTCAAAAAAAGTACTGGGGAGAGTTTAATTTCCTAGTAACTCTGTTTTCTTAGCAAAAATACGCCGAAAAATTATGTTTTTCGTCCGAAAATTTAAATTTCAAAGATTTAATTATACTTGGTTTTCTGGATAGCTCTAAGTATTCTGCATCAACTAGGTGCAAAACGTTTTGAGGTGTCAGCTTTATATTTGAAGTATTTAACAAATTTGAACGTGCCGAAGAAAACTTATGCTTTGTAACATAAGGTGTTCACCCCTAGATTATTGTAAGATAAGATTAACTCTGCCCCTATATGTAACATAACTTTTTCACGCCTGCCCTTATATGTAACATAAGGTGTTCACCCCTATATGAGTGTAAGATAGGTTTCTACGCGTGCCCCTATATGTAACATAAGGTTTTATCCCTGCCCCTATATGTAAAATGACTCGTACTGGAATTAACGTGAAAATATGACGTCACTTAATTAAACATTGCGTCATTATGTTTGCCCCTATATGTAACATGCCCCTTTATTTAACATCACGTTACCACCCTTGCTCCTTCAGCTAGCAAAAAAAATATGGTTGAAATCTCTCTACGTTCACGAAACATGTTTTGGGTAAAGTTCAAGTATTATTGTTTGTTTTAAGCCTTAGTCTTTTTCAAACAAAGCAGTTTTGTGTAAAAAAATCGGCGTTCTTCTGATGGTGTAATTTCGGCTTTTGGCCTTCATGGCGCCTTCAATTTGGCTTCAAAGATGGCGGCCGAGTTATCGTTGCAGTCTTATTAGAGTTCACTGGTTAGGATTATTTTCTTAAAAACTCGGAACTCCATAGTTATTTTTTTATTCAAGACAGATACTCTTTGTTTTTCAATAAATAATTATTGCCCAGAACTTCCTGTCCAAATCAGAAAATCTTCTATTTTTTAAAAAGTGTAGATAAGCCACTTTAAACAGTTTCTTTATGCATAAAATTTACTTACTTTAAAATTTACTGTCAAGCTTCTATGCACTCGTGGGTTTAGCAGAGTGCTGAGGCATTCAAATTCTAACGGCGTTATTTCAATAGTTTCTTTTAATCTTTTTACATCTTTCACACGAAAGAAAAGTGACTCAAATTATGGTATGGATGCCTAGTGCGTTTCGAATTAAACAAAACCTCGTCCATTAACACATTTGCATGGAGAATGACAAAATAATTGCAAGTTTAGGTCGAGAGCTACCTGAGTATCTCATAACTGTCGAATCTACTCCATCGGTACGCATGGAGAGATTCGTAACTTGATATCTTCGACTTAGTCTCACAAGTGTCGTCAGATCTGCCCATCGGTACGCATAGAGAGATTCGTAACTTGATATCTTGCAGGTTAATATCCTGCCACCTCACGCAAACATTTTGTCTAATGATACTATTCGTCCAATCGTCCCACCCGTCGTTCCATTCGTGTTTCTTGAATACCTTACTTGTATTAAAATTAGTGCAATACTAGAATTCGCGCAGCGCTGGGTGCGCACATTTTAGTACTGCGCGAAATATAATCCGCTCGAAATGCTTTGTGGTGTAATTCGAGATAATTATTGTTGATGCAAATCAGTTGATTTATTAACGCATATACATATGTTTTAAGTTGTCCTGGTAACATTAAAAATCAAAAGATCTTCATCTTGGACAATTTCAGTCGGGATATTCTCATGTTCCACGTAGTATTCCATCACGAATGCCTGCATTTTGCTGTAGATCCTCAAACTTGCATTCGACAACAACATGCAGAAGCCACAACGGAGAGGATGCATTTTAACTCTAGCTAATTTTGTTTGAATTATAAAGTATAATGTTATAGGCAGTACTGTATGTATTAGAATGCTAATAAAGATTATTGTTATTCTTATTGTTATTGTTAATGTATTAAGCAAATGAGAACGATACAATGATTTAATGATTTAATAATGTTCGACAACAACTGTATTTATATTATAACAATGTAGTGCCAGGATAATCGCAACAGTGTACCCAATTACGGCGGGTCCTTAATAATTACATCTAAATAACGTTAATATTAAAATTGAATAATTAATAAATAACTGACAACTGACATATTTTAATGGACTATTCTTTGTGAAATAGTTTACACGTTCTTGTATCTCGTTACTTGTAAAGACCACTTTCATAATACAGACGGATTTAAATAATTACATAGCGAAATTACAGTTTAAAAAAACAAATATATTTTGACAATTCAAATCATTCGATCGCAATTTGATCATTTGATGGTTTCTATTAGGCTTCTAGCACACGTTTGTAAATAGTAAATAGTTATATATATATTATCTAATATATGTAATATTTGGGCGAATTTAAATAAAAAAATATTTTAAAAAATTGATAAACAAAGAAAAATGTCGCGAACTATTCCGCATTCCATTCCGCACGCCATTCTGGCTTTTACTTTCATAGGAAATAGGTCTAACTACCGTCGATTGCAACTAAGCGGAAACACATCACACGTACGTCATGAGAAAACGCGGACATGAAACATAACATGTTTGAACTTCAAACTTTACATGATTATATATATATATATATATATATATATATATATATATATATATATATATATATATATATATATATATATATATATATATATATATATACTGAATTTGTCCACTATAGAACTTCACTATAAGGCCTGTTTCATACGTCGAATTTAATTCAGACGAATTTAATCACGTATTTTGTGTTTGCAAGCTAATCCCCGCCCAATATGAATGTGTTTCTAAATTTGGAATATTGACAGTTGACAGTTGAAACGTAAATGTTTGCAGTAAAATCATGTGATGTTTGAAGCAGTGTGACCAGATTTGGTAAAAAGTTTTACTTTTTGTAAAATTTCGTGAATTTTAAGAAAATTTGGTAATTCATTTAGTAAAATTTGAACAAAGTTTTAATTTGGTAATGACTGCTGAAGAAATCTGGTCACACTGGTTTGAAGTCCAAACAAATCATGTTTGACAGCCATTGGATCGCGTTTTCTCATGACATGTTTCTGCTTAGTTGCAATCGACGGTATATTGGCTTTACAAGTACCCGTATAGCAAAATGTTAACGAACATTGCCGCCGGCCACAAAATTTAACGTTCAGAAGTATTGTGAGTTCCCTTTTTAAAAGGCCGAGTCCCCGCCGCTTTACATTAGGGAGCGACTACGAGTACAAGTACGCATGTTGTATGCGAAACGTCAAGCGAAACGCATGTTGTATGCTTACCCCATCCCGTACTGACGCGAAAAAGTCGTAGCCGTCGCCCGTCTAAGTATAGGAAAATTTGGAGTAATCTCGTAGTCCTCACGGAGAAAACTCGTAGTCCTCACCACGACTATAAAAAGAGATAAAAAGTTGGTAGAAATATTTGATATAGTCCTAGCTTTATCCTGCGCGTTTTTAGAAAGCGGAAGTGTGAATTATACCGGAAATGTTGAGCTCAATATCTGCCTTGTGTTTAACTCCACTTACTCATGACTTATTTGTATACTTAATTTGTGCAGTATTGTTCCTCATAGAAAGGTATAATTTTTTTGTAGGGAATTTTTGCTTGCATGAGATTTAGTTTATAGAAAATTTTTCTCTCATTGTTTGTTTACTGCTGCCAAAAGCAACATTTGAACGGAAACTAGGACGACTACGACTTCCTCGCACGCGATCAAATCTCGTACTCGCACTCGCACTCGCATGCTAAAGCTCTCTATTGCTAAAGCTCTCTATTGCCAATCTCTGTTGAGATATTCGCTTCTTTCTGCCTAACGGATATTATCACTGAAAGTCAATCCGAAGGCCGTTTGTTATTTCATTGACGTACAATGGTCTGACGATGGATTTGTAATAACATTGAAATATTATGATTTCAATATATTCTTTTTTGTTTTGGATGCGTTGTACATTTTACAAAATGCTTGTTTTCCGAGGCTAACAATAAGTTGGCTTTGATAATTTATATTTTCACTATTCAGTAATTTGCTACGTTCCCTTTTGTTGTTAATATTCCACTTGACAGATACTCAAAGGAAATTGTTCTATAAAGAGCACAAAGAGGCTCTTATAACTGTTTATAACAATTATAACAGATTGTTGTATTTGTAGTGGTTTAACAGATTACAAGAATGTTACTCAAATAGTATTTCTGATCACCTTTCTGTGGTTCGCTCGATCTGTTTATTTGCAAACGTCAACAAAAGATATATCATGTCGGTATTAGCCTATATACTGCTACGAAATCTGACCACAGGAAGTCGACGGAATGCGGAGGAGTGAGGCATGCAAGAGCTTGCCCTCACAAGCAAATTACGTCCTTGAGTGATCTTTAGAAACACACTGGCAACTTTTGTGGCTAACACGTCCGTTCTATTCATTCAATACATGTTACTGCGTCAAACTTGCCTTATTGACAAGCCCATGGGAGTCCGTCCGCTCATTTTTCGCCAAATAGCATGCGTAATCAGGCACCTTATTTTGCAATGTCTATTAATATACTTTCCGTTTTTTTCACATAAATACGACACAAGAATTGCTTTCGAAACTAATGAGAGTTTGGGTGCACAATTACTAGAGGAATCGGTAAGTAAATATGTAAAATATATGCCGTTTTTCACTACTAAGTCTAAGGTCAATAATTGAGTAGGCCTATATATAAGGCCCAATGCAGCATGCGCAGACTCGGAATAATATATATAGGCCTACACTTCATACAAATAGCGTAAATAGTGAACATCCATATACAATATACGTATATTAGCACTATAAAGTCAAAAGTGTTTTTAAATATATAATGTATCTAGCGAGTGTTTGAGTGAAAATAATTAAGTATATACTGTTAGTATATAGTCGTGATTATTCAATTTTGGTTACCGTCAGTCGTGAAATCACTAAAAATGTTGCCGTGAAGCGTGAGGAAAAAACACTGTTTAATATACCTTTAAAATACCAAAATTTTTACCGTTTACTGATTTTCAGACTCCCTCCCCCCAACCACTAAGCCGCGGTATTGCAGAATATACACAATATACTCCACCAGTATACAGTGTATATTGTGTATACATATACTTTAGAGTATATACTCATCTACTATACACAGTTGACAATATACATGTTTATATAGTCAAAACTGTATATAACTACTGTATATTCTCGCTTTTATCAACTTGCTAGTCTGTATATATAGTGTATATTGTGTATATAGTGTATATATATACAAAATATACACGACAATATACATGTCTATATACACGGTAAAAACTGTATATACTGTATATTCTCGCTTAATTTTATCAACTTGCTAGTCTGTATAGCCTATATTGTGTATATAGTGTATATATATATATATATATATATATATATATATATATATATATATATATATATATATATATATATATATATATATATATATATACATGCAAAATATACACGACAATATACATGTATATATCATGAGTCAAAACTGTATATAGCCTACTGTATATTCTCGCTTTTATCAGTCAACTTGCTATAGTCTGTATATAGTGTATATTGTGTATATAGTGTATATGTATATACAAAATATACACAATATACAGGTCTATATAGTCAAAAGTGTATATACTGTATATTCTCGCTTTTATCAACTTGCTAGTATATAGTGTATACATATACAAAATATAGACTACACAATATACAAGTCTATATAGTCAAAGCTGTATATACTGTATATTCTCGCTTTTATCAACTTGCTAGTCTGTATATAGTGTATATTGTGTATATATATTAACAGATACTGGTATCTTAGTGATTAAATACCGCTATTGTAATTGTAATTTGTACTGATACTAATGCATGCAGATATGAAACGTTGTTTTGTAACCAAATATTCTATTACACGTACATATTTCACTCAAACCAGTCTTATAGCCTATGGCTATGGTTATATTTATAAGTAAGAAGTTATAAAGGCATGTTTTCTCGTTCTTAAAAGAATCCGCTTTAATATATACAATCAGTGACACATAATCATATGATACATAAGTCATCAAGGCATATATGTTTCCTTAGTTTCCTCGTTCTTAAAAAAATCCCGCTTTAAACATTCAGTGACACATTCATAGTCATATGCATGATAGCCTACATTACTAAAGTCATAAAGGCAAATATGTTTCGTCGTTCTTAGAAAATCCCACTTAATTCATAAATTGACACATATTGTCACTATTAGCACTTTTGACTACACTATTTTCACAATATACACTGTATACTCTTCGACATTCACTCAAACACACATATAGACAGTATAATTACTCACAATATATACACTATATAGCCTACTCTTTGACATTCACTCAAACACTCACTATATACACTGTATACACTTTTGACTATATACTGATAAATATACTTATATTGTGTATATATAGACACTATATACACAATATACACTATATAGTAATATATTCTCACTGCTCGCTTTCCCCGCACAATACCTTTGACTGAGGGAATTCAGATTGGGGATAAATAATTTTCAGCCAAAGGTAGAGTGCGGCGAAGCTATGTCCGGAAGTGTCGCAGCCGAGGGGAGGTGGGTGGGTCCCAAAAAATTTCAGCGCCGTTCTTCCTTTTCGGTGGCAAATCCGCAAATGCTAAAAAAATACCGCGGATTCTGTGCTACTTTTATACTGTCTGACAATCACGTGGTGTATATGGATGACTAACTGATCATCTCATGCATAAATATTCAAAGTATATGGTATTGTGAGAGAAAACTCCCAGTGAGAATAGTAATATATTCTCACTGCTCGCTTTCCCCGCACAATACCTTTGACTGAGGGAATTCAGATTGGGAATAAATAATTTCCAGCCCCGGCGAACTCCGGCTCCTTAAACATCACCATAGGCAGAAAATATTACAAAGACTTCATGACGATCAGACTTCAAAAGCGAGAATCTTCCCTCTCTCCAATACTCAGAAAAACCCCTCCCCTGAAAAATGATGAAAAGCTAAAAGGCTGCTCTTAATTAAAGCAATATAGGTGAAACATGCACGTTACCATCACCAAAAGCGTCTTAACACGCACGATAAATATCTTAAGGTATAAATGGAATGTTGCATGCCTGGCACCCAAAACACATTTTTACGTTGCATGCGTTACATAAAATGAGGTATTTTGCCCCACCAAAGCGTATCGTGCACTTCACCCAAAGCGAGCTTTTGTTTCTAATGACCAAATGAAAGCTTGCCCCCAGCAAAGGAATATCGTACATTTCGCTTCACGCGAAGTGAGCGTTTGTATCTATATAATGACAAAATTAAATCGCACCTCACCAAAGACTGATCTTACACGTTACTGCACCCATGAAAACAGACACAAATATAGCATTGCCTAATCAAAAACAAACAGCTTCACCCAAAGCACGCGACTGCAAATACATTCATATGCGGCTTCACCAAAACAACCATTAAACCATGCACGGCCCAACGTATAAATAAGAATGATACTGATTGGCCTCAAATCCGCAAACAAACAAATCCGCTGAGTATACCTGCATCATGCCCATAGAACGATGAGCAAGCTTGCGACTAAAACTAGGCAGAAAGGCACAGGACAATGAGAACAAACCAACCGAAAAGAAAATGCACCCTTGAAGGAATCGAAAAATGGAATACAAAAGGTAGGCAAATATAACGAGAAAACCCGATAAAAATTAGCTTATAACGCCGCTTATAACTAAATAATAATAACGAGCAGAACTGGACAAACAAATAATACCAAACCAAATTAACCATGCACAAAAAGCCGCTCTAAAGTGTTGCCGAAGCTTCACCATAAAACAAACAGCGAGGTGCGGCAAAACAATGGGGTGCGAAATACAGAGTACGAAACCGTGTATATAGTTACGTCGCAAACCCAACATAGGCAACAACAGTACATAATGTATAGCGCGCTATGAAACCACGAGTGGAACTAAAGCATTCGCAAATTATGGTCTTACAAAATGCCTAACTGAAAACCGCTGATGCGAAGATAGCACAAGACAAAAGCTCAAAAAGCACATACCGTTCTTCGCGTCACGCAAATGAAAACAATACGTAAACAGAGTTAAGGCAAACCGTAATCGCTCCACCAAGAGTAATAGAAGCAAAACAATTATAGAGTGTTTCAATAGAACAAAACAAATTGTACAGTCAAATGCAAATCCAACATAGCACCATATGGTAATCCATTGAATACAATGGACAATTGCTGCGAACAAGTGAGTGACCCGCAAAAACAAAAAACTTGCTACTTATGGGACATGTACGAACAATGCAGTGAAACAGCTAAGACAATACAAGCAGCATTAAAATAAAATAGAAGTGATCTCGTTTGTAAATAAGACATGCGTGCGTGGCGTAACATTAACTCAAAGCAGTGGATAACAAACAAATCACTTGATTAACGTGAATTTTAAATTGAAATGGTCACACTAGCCCGAATGCACACTGCAGATATTGCACGCCACGCAAACATAGGGCAAAAGATATGGACCTCACCAAAAATAATAAGCGCCAAACTAAAGAATTTTGTTTTACAAAAGCGAAAAAATGCAACTTGCTTAACCAAAGGTCGCAAGAGATTAAATGTAGTAGCTTCACCAAAAGCAAATAGCTCAAACATACACGCGCACGACAAAAACAAAGGACAAAAGTTTATAGCCATCACCTAAAAGCCGAATGGCTAAAATTAATGTAAGTGCTTCACCAAAAGCAACAAATTAAGGACATGCGCTTCACCAAAAGCAAAAAGTCAAATTAAGGTATTCGCTGCACCAAAAGCAACATACTAAGGTGAATTGCTTCACCAAAAGCAAAAAATCCCACCGCATTGTCCATACCAAAAGCACGCAATATACGGTAGCACAATGTTGCTTCACCCAAAGCAATATATAGTTAAAATCCAAAAGCAATAGTCCAAAGACAAAGTAGAAAATATGCCTGCCCCAAAACAATAACGGCATTGCGATGGCAGTCAAAGGGGGGAAACAAACGCTTATAGACTTATGAAAGCAGTCAAACTCTGGGAATTATACGTCTCCAGCACGCGCCTGAATACGGGAACACGTCGTAGACATGTGTAGGGTTTTGATTAGTGTACCCACCTCGCCAGACCGCACATTAGGAAAACGCGATAACAACCCAGTTGACAAATAATGAGGCGGAATATCTAAAAGAGATTGCCAGCCAAAAAAACACCTGAACGAATGTAACAGTGAGAAAATAAAACAAAATAACTACGAAAACCACGAGATAGAGGACAGAACATGCACAGCCGAGAAGAAAATAGAAGACAGGTCGGCATGCAAAAAGAAAACAAAGCATGCACATTGTAGGCCTAAGTACATTTGGTCTTTGGAGGGTTGCGAGCAAAAGCAGTTACTAACGCACTACGGTGTGCATCCAAAACAACTATAAACACAATGAGAATAAACAATACGCGTATTATGGACCCAAAAGCTGAAGCTAATACATTTAAACGCATATACCCAGTCACACGCCGGAGTACACGTTTCCAGAACGCATCTGCAAGAACACGTCATAGACATGTGTAGGGTTTTGATTAGTGTACCCACCTCGCCTGACCGCACATTAGGAAAACGCTGAAACCCCACGAGAGAACAACAGATATGCCATGGACAACGTTAGGCTTTGGTGCATATGAACTCGCTAAAATGCCGTATTAATACGGATCCGTTTAAATAGAAACGAACGAGCAAAATACAATTAAGTGCCAGTGAAACTCGACAAGTAATACGACAGGTATGACTTAAAAACCTGCACCTAAGAAAATGTGTGGAAAATACGAACAGATGCATGCATGCAGATACGGAAAAGTACAGGTGGAACGTTAACAATTAGACTATTTTAGAGCCGTATCTGCTTGCAAAATTTGCGGTGGTCGCAAGGCGATGTGTAATATAAATGCCGTTGTAACAAATTGTACTTGATACCAAAGAAAACTTAATAGACTCGAAACTCGCTGGGAAGACCCACTTAAATTCGATAGACAACAAATCGATACCTGATTCCAAGCACAGCCGGTTGAGGAGGACGATTAATTCACATCATGCTCGACATACCATGACAAGTCAAATTGTTTGGCGAGCGTTATCGTTCTTCTGTGTAAGCAAGGCATTTCGTTAAATTCCCAAGGCCGGGCTCGGCTGCGACACGTGTGACTTGGATGACCAAAAATTTCAGCGCCGTCCTTCCTTTTCGGTGGCAAATTCGCAATGCTCAAAAAATACCGATTCCATAGATTAGGAAATGAATAGATGGCTCACTCCTTTGATGTTTTTGACGCTGCCGGCACCCACGCATGTTCTTGCCAGAGTAATGGCGGCCTAGTAAGTAACTTTATCGCTTCCTTTTCTTAACACTATGTCAGCAAGATATCCTGCAACGATTAGCTCTGTTTTCTGTGCGCGAACATTGCGCATTTGACCAAGTCAGACAGCAACTGGAATAATTATGGCAATGTGCGTCTTGCGCAACGCACATGCCGATTTATTAATTTTTTAAAACAATGAGATAATTATTAACATAACAAATTATAAACCGAAGTTAATTATTAAAAGTTCGCACTGAAAAGGTGGGGGTAATAAATACGCCCACCATTTAGAAATTAATCTAATAACTAAACTAACTTACATATGTAATAATATTGCGTCAAGTAACGGGGAGGAGGGTGGGATATCAATTGACTTCAGCCAGAGAGTTGACCTTGCGCGACCAGATTGAAGAGTAGAATGAACTGATGCACATACTGCAGTAGATTATATCACCACTCCTATCCGCTTCCTGCGCATTACATTCATGTGACTACAAATTATCGGGGCTAATACCCACGTGTTCCATTACAATAGCTCCCTATCTCTAAAACTAGATGCAGGAAGCAATAAAATCTTTATTGGTATGCCAATAATTCCTGTAGTAAAATGCATTGTGAAATTGACATCCGTGCTACTAAATCCTGTATTTTTTCGCTTTCGGGGGTTTGAATGGAAAAATAAATCAGAATTATAAAAATAAAGGATTTAGTAGCACCGATGTCAATTTCACAATGGATTTTACTTTTGTTACTTGCTAGGCCGCCATTACTCTGGCAAGAACATGCGTGGGTGCCGGCAGCGTGAGGAGTGAGCCATCTATTCATTTCCTAATCTATGCCGATTCTGTTCTACTTTTATACTGTCTGACAATCACGTGGTGTATATGGATGACTAACTGATCATCTCATACATGGGATAGTCTAAATGGCGCGGGTCGCGAGTCAATAGATCATGGCGCGGGTCCAGCGAAAATGGCGCGAGTCCAGCGAACATGGCGCGGGTAACAAGTTCCGAGGCGCGAGTAAAAAGTTCCGAGGCGCGGGTAACAAGTTCCGAGATCAATTACCCGGTACTAAATATATTCAAGATGGCGGCTATTTTGACTAAAAATTCTGCAATTATTCGGTCAAATATCGTCTCTTTCTGTGGAAACTCTGCGAGCTTCAAACTTAAACTAACAGACATCAATTAACTTAAGCAAATCACGTTTGAAGGCGTTATATTCTGCATATTTTAAACGCAAA